AATATTTTCGAAGCTAGATGTTGTCAAGAGATAGAACGATGCGTTAAGGCATGCAACAGGGATGACGTCCTAGTCGAAACGAAGACCGCACCGAGATGTATTACTCTTCACCCTGGATTTCGTCCTGTGTGCCTGGAGAAATGGTCATTGAAACAGTCCGCCTCAAAGTACAAAACACGCGATCAGCGTCGATATACGCAAATTGGAAAGGAATCAACGTGAGTTCAAGATATTGAACTTTCAATCAAGTCAGATAGGGCACTAATAACGTTTTGTCTTGCAGCTTTCTTCGAGCCGTTGCGTATAGAGAGTTTTCACAACTTGTTTATGGATTTCTTGGCTCCGAACGAATTCCATTGCCAGCYTGTRCATATCACAAAATAAGAGGTGCATTCAGAACCGAAGAAGAGAAATTTGTGGGCTATGACGAACCAGGTCACGAGTAGTGTARAACKTGTGTAAACAAAARYTAGAAGTGTATATAAAAATGTATATTRATTGATCTTAGCACAAGCTACTAATTATGCAAACTAYCCATCCAGTTTGAATATAAACTAGTGGTTAGTTGTAAATAATACCACTGCAAATTTGCACATACAGACCAAAACAAAATGCTGTGAATTGTTTTTTTTYCCACAATTATATATCCATACAATAGKGATACATTCATAATATACAAAACAAGTAAAATGACTATAAAATTCTATAAATCGAAGTAGAGCATATATAAGTATGGTTAAAACATTTTGCCAAAAATATTTAGAAATATAAATAATAGTTCTAAACAATAGAACATCTTTTCTTTCATTTTCCATTTTATGTTGACTGCCCTCTGCCTGCTGATCTTCCTCTGGCCGCCGACCTTCCTCTTCCTGAAGGTCTTCCTCTGGCTGCTGACCTTCCTCTGCCTGAAGGTCTTCCTCTGCCTTGTTGTACAGCTACTTCTGCTTGATTCTCTAAAGAGATAAAGAATTTTATAGCAAGAAATTTAATAGAATGCAATAACCTTTCCACTATTAGATGTAGAACATAAAAAGAAAATCATGGATCTGTGCCCTAGTTTGTCACATGCTTTGCACTAGTAGTAAATATATTGAACAAAATTATAGGAAATAATCAATATACTGTAGTGGTTTACACTGGACTGTGAAACAGTTACTATAGCTTACTAGACACCAATGGAATGAAATGAAATGGACCTGTTCCCTTTGTTGCAATATGCTAGTTCAAGCTATCAAAACCTGAGTATCAGTAATAAATTTTTTCACACGGATGAAAACCACTCTGTAATACAAGTGCTTACACAATGTACAAGGAATACTATACAGAARATAGGTTTCAGYACCTTGCGCAGTGCCAGGAACATCTACAACCACCATCTGCTTTCTGGCTTCACGCTTCTGAATGGCTTCTGCTCTATCCTGCTTGTTGAGCATTGTATTCATATGCTCGGGGGTCATTTCTTGCAGATCCAAACATGCTTCTTCAAGTGTTTTATTGGCAATTGCTTCAATACATGTCTTATATATGTCTTCCACATAGCCTGAAATGTATTTTTGTTCACGGTTATTCACAAAAAAAATATTCATAGTTTATTGTATGCATAGCTATTCTGTTTATGCTATGTCTTATGTTTGCTGCCAATATTCATAAAGTATTTATGTACTAAGTAACCATAATACACAACAAAATAGCCAAGTAATAATAAAATAAATGGTGGCATCATCAAACAACGGATATTTTACATTGGCTTGCAGAGATACAGATTATATGTTAGTGTGTTCTGTTGATATATACCACTTCTTTGCATGAGAAATTTTCTGGTTTTTCACAGAAGTGTTTTTTTAATAAAAAGGTATTGTTTTGATTAAGTGATATTGATTTTTACAACATCATGTATAAAGTAACAGCAACAACAACATTATCAAAACATATTGTTCAGCATAAAATATTTTCCAGTTCCATTCTTACCAAACTCCTGCTTTACTTTTCGATTCCTTACAGTGGCTTCTCCGTTCTTGAATTTAGGGTAAACAACCACAATCTGCTCAGAACCGTCTGCTTTTTTCCTGCTTTCTCGGTTTAGATTGGTATTAAAGTGAATGGAAGCCAGAATATGCCTAAGGAAAAAAGTAGTTATCAATTGATTGACATTAGTACTAACAACACTATTCTTCAT